ACACCTGATCCCTTCGACACCTCGTGGTTGCATAGGCTGGTGTGCTTCTTCTATGTGGGCTTTGTTGCTTCTGTTGTTTTGTTTTTTAAGGTTTACAGCAGTGCACTAAGCACAATGGAGAATATGCGAGAACCCACAAGAGATCACTTTTTACTATAATACACAATCTACTGGAGAGATGAACTGCTTACACTGAGATGATTAATGCCATGTAAGCAGACTTGTGCTTTTCAAAGCCACCATAGCTAAAGGTCAACTGTATAAAAATGTTTCCTCAATGCTAGGATTAAAGGACTGGATATGAAAACAAGCACCCCATGATTCTAGACGGAACCTTTGTGCTACGGACAACATTACTAAAACAACTAGTGAAATGTGAGGAGACTATCTCGGTTCAATGGTAATAATACAACAGCGTTAGTCTCTTGGTTTTGGTGTGTGTATTAGGGTTATGAAGGAGCCCTGGTGGCCTCGTGGTTATATGTTGGGCTGCTAACCAGACGGGGCTTTCTACTCCCATAAAGAGTCTCAATAGTACCTAAAACAATTTACAAATACAATGCAATACCAATTCAAATCCCAAATAAGTTCTTTAAAGAAATAGATAAGCTACTTAAAAATATCATATGGGCAGGGATCCAGGATAAGCAAAGAACTTCTTATCAAGAAGAACAAAGCAGGAGACCTGACCTAAAAATCGACTACCCAGTCACAGTAGTCAAAGCAGCCTGGGACTGGTACAACGAGAGGTACATGGACTAATGGATCGGCATAGAAAACCCAAACACAAATGCATCAGCCTACAGGCACATAAGCTTGGACAAAGGACCTAGAAAGATCCAATGGGAGAAAGACAGCCTGTTCAACCAATGGTGTTGGACAACTGGATTTCCATATGCAGAAGAATGAAACAAGACCCATACCTTTCCCCGTGCACAAAAACGAACTCAAGATGGATTCAAGATCTAAATGTACACCCCAGACGCTCTCAGGACCATCAAGGAGAAGGCTGGAACAAACTTAAGGGCCCTATTGCAGGGCATACACAGACTACCAAGCAAAATGGAGGAGGTACACAAGTAGAAGGCAAGCTACAAGTCTGGGACATGCTGAAATTACATCACTTATGCACATCAAAGGACTTCATCAGGAGAGTGAACCGAGCGCCCACAGATTGGGAAAAAATTTTTTACTCGTGGCACATCAGACAAAGGGATAATTACAAAATATACAGAACTCCACAACAGCTCAATAAGAAAATGAGACCCAATTAGAAAGAAGGAAAGAAATGGGGAAAAGACATGAATGCACAGTTCACCAAAAATGAAGTACAAGTGGCTGGCAAGCACATGAAAACATGCTCATGATCACTAGCCATCAGGGAGATGCAAATGAACCCACAGTGAGATGCCACTTTATAGCCACAATGCTAGCCCAAATTAAAAAACAGACAGACAAAAATTTCCGGAGAGGATGTGGAGAGACTGGCACTCGTTTACACTACCGGTAGGCTTGTAAATACATACAGCCACTGTGCAAAACAGTATGGTCTATATACTTAACGCCAGTGGACATTGAAATCCCATAGGATCCAGCAATACCACTATTAGGCAAATGTCCTAAAGAAATGGGACACAAAGCGAAGGGATTTATGATCTCTCATGTTCAGAGCAGCACAGCTCACAATATCAAGCAACTGGGAGCAGCCCAAATGCCCAACCGTGGAAGACTGGGTAAAGAAACTATGGCACATCCACACAATGGAATACTACGCATCCCTAAAAAGGTGTGACGATAGCATGAAACACCACCTGACATGGAAGGACCTGGAAATCTTTATGCTGAGTGAAGTACCCCTATCACAAAAGGACAGGTGTGGCCTGAGTCTACTACTTTAAGAAGAAACACCAATGAAATCTTAGGGAGCAATTACGTACTGAACAAAAGATGAGAAGGTTACCCACTGGCATGAACCCTACGTCACCTCTCTTGCACACTTCAGAAGAGCCAACTTGACAGAGCAGACCTCACATTGTGAGGGGGTGGGGAGGAGGGGATGGGAGAGGACCATCTACTTGAGGCTATGCAATATGGAGACAAGGCTGGGGCAAATTAAGCCCCCCACACACACACACACAGAAATGGAAGATCTTTGCCAGTGAACCAAACTAACAATAGGAGAGAGGAGAATCTACATTTTGGAGGAGACACCGGTAGTTCTGTTGGTGAATATGGTGGGTGAATGGGGAGAAAACCCTCGCCTCCGGAGGGGTGTTAAACAACGACTGTAGAGAACCTAGGGGGACAGTGGACCCCATTTTATGTTTTTGGGTTAACGCTACAAATACATTTCCACCCAACCCTGGGTGAACCATGCCAGGGACTAAACAACACGATGCGTTTGGACGCTGGCCGTGCAGGCAGCATGGCATAACGCAGGGGCCACAGCTGAAGGGTGTAACACAGAGGCCCAGGCGAAGGAACTGAGCTCTGCTTCCAAGTTGCCTGCACCCTGGGACGGAGCACTGGGGTATTCTGAGGGGACAGGAAGTTCTAGAGAGTGGCAGCGCTGGGAATATGGAAGTGGTGGTCATTGGACCTTGGGGGAAGCTCCAGCGGAGGGGTGTCCAATGAAAAGGGACCCAGAATCACCATATATTTAGTACCGTGCCCCCCGACCCCCATTGCAGTGACATGACGGGTTTTGATATGTCAGGTAGGGATCTATACTTGGAAGAACTGATCCCGGCACCAAATCCCATGCTAAGGACAAACAGAGCTCGATGGAGCAGGAGACCAAATTGTGCAGGGCAACAACTCATGGCTGCAGCTCAAGGCCGAAACGCACTTGCAGGGACGCCTCGTACCAACAGTGTCTGGAGCGCTGTGTCATTGGGAAAATGGATGCATCAGCACAATTGCCTTTCTCCCCAGGAGGAGGAGGAGCAATGCTGTCCTTTTTTGTTTTCCTGCTTTTTGCTACCCCCACCCCCCCACCTCTGTTTGCTGGCTGGTTTGTTGCTGGTGTTGGTATAGTTGTCTTATGAAGGTTAGATTTTGTTGTAAGATGACTGCCAAAGTAAACCTCCGTTGTGGACCAGGAGAAGGGTTCTGGAAGCCGACTTAACTCTAGCCTCGATCCAAGAACACTTAGTTCTGATACCAGGGCCCTGCGAAATGATCACTCCAGAGAAGCAAAGTGTGGTGAAGAGAGCAGATGGTACCGGAATATGAATTGGAATTATATTCAAAACGATACGAAATCACCCTCAGAATAAAGACTTTCACTTACAGAACCAAACCCAAGCAAGCGCACCGCCCTGGAGGCGGTGCTGACTCACAGCAGCCCTCTAGGACAGGGGAGAATGATCTTCTTAGAGGCTTACATTCAAATAAGTAGTCATCTAAGCGGGCACATTTGAGAGTAAGGTGTTGACATGATATAAAATCACCCTCTCTTCCCATTATTCTAAGCCAGAAGGGTGGAAGAAAAGTGAGTCAGAAATTTTCTTTTAATCATCAACGGCACTGAATTATACATGTAGAAGTTGTTGAGTTGGTGCATGTTTTAATGTGTATAGTTATGCCAAAATGGAAAAAAATTTTACAAGAGTAACTATGAGTACGGGGAAAAGAAAACATTCTAAAATTGATTGTGGTAAAGATTGTACAACTCTTCTTGATATGGTTGAGCCATTCAATTATATGCTATGTGGACAAAATACCAATAAAACTGGGTTTTTTTAATTGCCCTTTATCAGTTATCAGTTAACCCCCCAAGGCCCACTTCCTTGAGATATGAGGAGTCAACATAAAACTCTCTTTCCAGAAATGCATATACATAAGGCAGAGATCCTAATTTGAACATTTGTAATTAGGCAAGTGCTTGCACGTAAAAATAAACTCGGCAAGAAGTATGCTGAAACTGTCTAAAAGAGTAGGAAGTGCTAAATTAAAATATGTAGCAAGATACTAACAACAGAATAGAAAGTATATTTGAAAAAGTATCTACTTACTGTAAATTTGCTAACACCCTCAAGTTCTCCAAACCTCATGTAAGAGATATCTGCCTTCTTTTTTCCAACATCTACATCCCCTGCATAGATTTGCTTTATGCCTGCACCTTTAATTAAAGGTACACACTCATCACATGGACACTTGGTCACAAAAATCATGCTTCTTTCTTCTGGCTTTATTTCTTGACACCTACAAAAAATTTATTTTTAATATTAGGAAGGTAGTTTCCAAACAGTAGGCTACTTTTTTTAGATAAATCTATAAACCTAACATTTATCGGCTTAAAAAAAAACACATTTATATCAGCTCTTATTTTTGCTGAATTAGTGAATGTTCAAAATATATAAACTCACAAGATATTATAATACAACTTGACCATGGCAATTATTATGACTAAAATTCAATGATTAATTCTAAGCAATTGGTAAGATGTTCAGCATTACATCATAAAGTCAACGAAAACACAGACATCAAAAGGAGGAGAAAATTTTGGAAGAAGGTGTAAAACACAAGCTGTCATTCTAACCCTCCCCTACAAATACAACAAGGTTGAGTAAATCTATAGAGACTGTACCTGGATTAATGGTTTTGTGGGAGCATGGCAAGGGTGGGGTGGAGGGATGGGGAATGGGGAACTAATGAGTGCAAGAAGAAAATGTTCTAAAATTTATGGTGGTGCCAAAGGTGGGGAGGGAGAATCATATCCTCGTCAATGAGGGTGGCGTGATGGAGACCCAATGCCCATCTCTAGACAACTGGACATACCTTGCGGAGGGGTAGTGGGGAGATGAGTCACTTAGGATTCAGTATAGCAATAATGAAGCCCACAACCCTCCTCTGGTTCTTGAATGCTTCCTCCCCCCAACTACCAGGACTCCAATTTTGCCTGGCAGACCTGGTTGGACCAGATGATGCACAGCGGTACAGACAGGAATTGGAAACGCAGGGAATCTAGGACAGAGGAACCTCTCAGGACCAGGGGTGACAGTGGCGATACCAGGAGGGAAAGGGGATGTAGTAAGGGGGAATGGATCACAGGGAGCTACGTGTGGCCTCCTCTCTGGGGGACGGGCAGCGGAGGGGTGGGTGAAGGGAGACGCCGGACAGTGTAATATAAGATACAATAATAATTTATAAATTATTAAGGGTGCATGGGGGAAAGGGGAGGAGGAAGGGAAGGGGAGGGGGGAAAAAAGGAAAATTAGCGGGTTCCGGGAACCCAAGAGGCAAGCGAATTTTGGGAATGATGAGGGCAACAAATATATATATGTGCTCTACACCATTGATCTATGTATTGTGATGAATTGTATGAGCCCCAATAAATTGATAAAAAATTTTAAAAAAAGTATGGTGGTGATGATTGTACAGCTCTTTTTTATATGACTGAATGATTGAATTGTGCGATGTGTGAAGTATATGTCAATAAAGCTGTTGGGGGAAAGGAATACGACAAGCGAATGGTGCTTGGCTTTGAGGGACTCCGGCTGGGGAGCAGAGAAAAGCAGTAGAGAACCGCAGGCAGGTAAGAGTCAACAAATCAAGGAGTCATATAAATAGCAATGAAACAAACAAAACCCCCCAACTTGTTGCCATCGAGTGGATTCAGTTTAGGAACATGATAGGGCAGAGTCCACTGCCCCTGGGGGCTTCTGAGTCTGTCAATCTGTATCAGAACAGAGAGCCTCTTGGTTTTCCCTACGAGTGGCTGGTGGTTTTCAACTGCTGACTGCTTGGTTAGCAGCCCAACTTGTAACCAGGGCCCCTGTACAAGTCATAAAATGTAGAATCTTCTTCCACCCCATCCCCAGCCCTGTGGGCCACTGGCTGCTGTGAACTGGAGTTGTGGCCCTGGAAAAAGAACCTGCTCTGCCTGTCACAAATCCTGCCTGTAACGCAGAGATAGAACCCCAAGTTTCTGCCATAAAACCAGCCAGGCAGACCTGCGGGGTAGTGTTGAGTGTGCCCAAATCTTCCAGGGTCAGACACCCTCAGCTGCATGCATGCTGAGAATCCCTATAGATGGACACTGGGCCTCTACTCATGGACTTCCTCAATGCAAGAATATTTTGTTCTAATAACCTGGCATTCTGTGATGCTCACCTTCCTGACACAGTCGCTTAAGATAAAATGGGTGCATAAGCAAATATAGTGAAAAAAGCTGACGGTGTCTGGCTTTCAAAAGATATAGCATCTGGAGTCTTAAAGGCTTGAAGATAAACAAGGGGCCATCTAGCTGAGAAGCAACAAAGTCCACATGGAAAAGAACACCAGCCTGTGGGATCAAGTGTCAGGCATCTAAGACTCAGAACAAAAATCCTATCACTGTGAATGAGAGGGAGTACAGAGTGGAGACCCAAAGCCCAGCTGCAGAAAATCGGACATGCCCTTACAGAAGGGTCACAAGGAAGAGACAAGCCAGTCAGGGTTCAGGACAGCACCGATGAAACATACAACTTTCCTCTAGTTCTTTTCTTTTCTTCAATTATTAATCATTTTAATTGGAGGCTGTATTAAGCACATTTGTACATATGTTTCCATCAACATTTCAAAACTTTTTTTTCTACTTGAGCCCTTGGTATCAGGGAAATTCTTTTCTTTCTTTCTTTTCTTAATCATTTTATTGGGGACTCATGCAACTCTTATCACAATCCATACATATATAAATTGTATAAAGCAGATTTGTACATTTGTTACCCTCATCATTCTCAAAACATTTGCTCTCCACGTAAGCCCCTGGCATCAGCTCCTCATTTTCCCCCTCCCTCCCCCCTCCCTCATAAACCCTTGATAATTTATAAATTATTTTGTCATATCTTACACTGTCCGACGTCTCCCTTCACCTACTTTTCTGTTGTCCATCCCCCAGGGAGGAGGTTATATGTAGATCCTTATAATCGCTTCCCTCTCTCTACCGCACCCTCCCTCTACCCTTCCAGTATTGCAACTCTCACAACTGGTCCTGAAGGGATCATCCGTCCTGGGTTCCCTGTTTCCAGTTCCTATCTGTACCAGTGTACATCCTCTGGTCTAGCCAGATTTGTAAGGTAGAATTGGGATCATGATAGTGGGGTGGGGAGGAAGCATTTAGGAACTAGAGGAGAGTTGTATGTTTCATCGTTGCTACACTGCACCCTGACTCGCTCGTCTCCTCCCCGTGACCCTTCTGTAACAGGATGTCCGGTTGCCTACAGGTGGGCTTTGGGTCGCCCCTCCTGCACTCACTCCCCCTCATTCACAACGATGATTTTTTGTTCTTTGTTGCCTGATAACTGATCCCTTCAGCACTGCATGATCACACAGGCTGGTGTGCTTCTTCCATGTGGGCTTTGTTGGTTCTGAGCTAGATGGCCGCTTGTTTATCTTCAAAGCTTTAAGACCCCAGACACTATTTCTTTTGATAACCAGACTCTATCAGCTTTCTTCGCCACATTTGCTTATGCACCCATTTGGCTTTAACGATCATATCAGGGATGTGAGCACACAATGATATGATTTTTTGTTCTTTGATACCTGATAACTGATCCCTTCGGCACCTCGTAGGCTGGTGTGCTTCTTCCATGTGGGCTTTGTTGTTTCTGAGCTAGATGACTGCTTGTTTACCTTCAAGCCTTTAAGACCCCAGACGCTATATCTTTTGATAGCCGGGCTCCATCAGCTTTCTTCACATTTGCTTATGCACCCGCTTTGTCTTGAGTGATCGTGTCAGGAAGGTGTACATCATGGAATGCCAGGTTAATAGAACAAAGTGTTCTTGCATTGAGGGAGTACTTGAGTGGAGGCCCAATGTCCATCTGCTACCTTAATACTAAACCTATAAACATATGCACATAGATCTATTTCCCTTGTCATATACAAATATATTTACATATGTACATGCCTTTATTTAGACTTCTATAAATGCCCTTTGCCTCCTAGTTCTTTCCTCTATTTCCTTCTACTTTCCCTTGTCCCACTATCATGCTCAGCCTTCATTTGGGCTACAGTAATTCCTCTCAGTTACATTACCCTTGATCACGCCCTAGCAGGCCTCCTACACCCTCCTCAACACCAATTTGGATCACTTGTTTTTCCTTTGTTCCTGGGTTTGTTAACACCACTTCCTTTCCCCCCACCTCCCTCTCCCATTTCCCTCCAGAACTGTTGGTCCCGTTGTTTTCTCCTCCAGATTGTTCATCCAGCCTATTTTATTTAGACAGACCTGCGGAGATAATAACATGCACAAAAACAAGACAGAGCAAAACCAAGCAACAAAAGAAAACAAAACAACAAAAAGCCAAAGACACAAACAAAACAAAAAACAAAACAACAAAACAGAAAAGCCTGTAAGTAGTTCAAGGACTGTCTGTTGGCCTTTAGGAGTGTCTTCTGGTCGAGTCTGATGGGGTGCCAAGCACTGGCCCCAAAGTCTATTTTTGGTATTCCCTGGGGACTTTGTTGCTCTGTTCCCCTTGCTGTTCTGTTCCACGCCCTTAGTGTTTTGCCTCGGTGTGGTGGGATCAGATCAGGTGCAATTCCCACACTGTGTCTCCAGTGCTGTCCCCTGTAGGGCTATGGGTCAGGGAGGGATGTCATGTCTCATAGTGGGGCCGGCCATGCGGTCTTCTCTGTGTATTGGCTGCTCTGAGCAGGAATATCGTCATCAAGGCTTGGTGGGCCAGGATGTGCTCCACTCTCTCTTCCGCCCCCTTCATTTGCTCCCATGTGCTCTGATCAAACATGTCCCTCTCCCTGAGCTGCAGCTTCAGTGCTGTCCTCTTGAAATAAATTCTTCTGGGGGGAGGGACAGCTGCTCACGTAGTTGAACAGACCTCTCCACTCCTCTAGTTCTTTAATGTTTCTTTCCTCCCACTGTTATGACCCCATTCTACTGTACAAATCCAACTAGACCAGATCATGTACACTGGTACAGATAAGAGCGATACTAGGAGAGTAAGGGGAAGGCGGGAAGAGAAAGGGGGAATCGATCACAATGATCTACATATAGCCCCCTCCCAGGGGGATGGGCAACAGAAAAGTGGGTGAAGGGAGACATCAGTCTGTGTAAGACATGAAAAAATAATAATAATTTACAAATTATTAAGGGTTCATGAGGAAGGGAGGGGGGAAATGAGGAGCTGATACAAAGGGTTCAAGTAGAAAGAAAACGTTTTGAAAATGATGATGCCAACAAGTGTAAAAGTGTCTTGACACAATGGATGTATGTATCGATTGTGGTAAGAGCTGTATGATACCCCCCAAATAAAATGTTTTTTTTTCAATCGCTGTAGAAACGTGTGCAGTGAAGTTGCCATTCACAGTTATGCTCTCCCTCCCTTCCTAGCGTCCCAGAGCTCAGGCCACAGGACCAACAGGACAGACCTCCCTATCTGCCCCCCTTTCAATGATGAGGACTGCCGTGCTGTGTGCTAAGGAACAGGCATATTTTAGTGATGCTCCACCCACAGCCAAGGAGCTCTGGTGGTACCGTGGCTTACACATTGGACTGCTGTGTAGTTTGTGATTCAAACCTACCAGCAGCTCCACAGGAGATGGCTGACGTTTTCTACTCTTGTAAAGAGTTAAAGTCTCAGAACCCCACAGGGGCAGTTTTACTCTACTCCACAGGGCTGCTCTGAGTCTGAATCAATTTGATGGCAGTGAGTCTGCAGTTGGACACCCATAGTCAACATACTTTGGATGGGAGGGCTAAGGTGGACCTCCCTGGGGGTCCATTTGGAGTACCAGCATCTCCTCACTTGCACACTGCCAGCTGCAAGCCACTGCCAATTGCTACAGAAGGCAAGTGCAGTACAGTCTGCTCTCATCGTCAACACTCTACCTGCTTACCTATGCACCCCTCGGCTCTGGCCTCAGAAACAAACAGAAATCTCCCAGAGGGTCAATTAGGGTTAATTTGCCCCACCTCCAGCTGGTGTTGAGGACTGCTGACTGAGGCCGCTGTGCATTAGGAAGCAGACATTTTAGAAAGAAATAAATAACAGTTTTATTAGCACTTCCTTCCACCTATCATACATTTCAATCTTATCAAGAAGAGTTGTTCAATCAATAGTACAATCAATTTTAGAACATTTTCTTCTTCCTTGTATACATTGTTATTACATATCGGCTACATCCATAGCAAAACATACTACCAGGCAGCATAGCGGACAGTCACAGGGCAGACTGCCCAAGGGATCCATTCAGAGTGTGACGGTCCCTCCCTCAACCCTAAGTGTCAGCTGCTGGGCTGAAAGGAATGCTTATATAGAATGCTCCCTACAGTGGAGGCAGCAGGTGGGCTACCTAAAGGGAGCCTGCTCCCTCAACCACCAGAGGGCCACCGGACTTCTGAATCCATTAAGACCAACCTCTCAGAGTTCCTTCTGGGGAATACCAGCCCCATGGAGAGGACTACTTCTGCTTCCCATGAATGCTAGCGGCAACATAAGCAGCCCACACACAGCCGAGTAGAAAGGAGACCTCAGGCAAAACTGGAGGGCAGCAACCAGCCTCAAAGGAGCTCCCTGGATATAGACTGTCCAACTAAAAACACAAGTGCTGAAACAGAAAAGGGTAGGGCGTAGAACTCAGAGAAAAGTATTGCACTCCCCTTTTGGGCAGATTGATTAGTACACAATCTTTCACCTGGGTGGTAGTAAGTGATAAGAATTAAGGACAAACATAGACAAAGAGCTAACATAAATAAGGAAAACAAAGAAATAACAAAATAATCTCAAGAGATACTGCAGCTGAAAGAAACAACGAAAATGAGACCCATACACAGAAAAACAAATTAAAAAATGACAGAAGAATATTCCTTATCACTTATGGCGGATGTGAATGGATTAAATACTCTAACTGGAAGGCAAAGAATGGTAAAAGAGATAAAAAACATGATCCAACTATAACTATATGCTGTTTATAAGAGACATACCACAAATAAAAGAACACAGATAGGTTGAACATGAAATGGTGGAAAAATATTCCTTGCAAATAACCAAAAGAGAGCTGGGAACCAATCTTAATATCAGAAAAACATGTCAGAAAAGATAAAGATTTATGTTATATGGTGATGCAAGGATCAATTCATCAAGAAGATTTAGGAATCGCAAATACGTAGGCACCCAAATATATAAAGCTAACACTGAGAGAAAATTAAAAACAGAAATACCTCATTGCCATTGAGTGAATTTGACTTATACTGACTAGAGGACAGAGGAGAACTTCTCTGGTTTTCTCAGGCTATAAATCCTTATAGGAGTAGAGAGCCTCGTCTCTAAACACTGAGAGAACTGAAGAGCCAGAGAACTGGAGACTTCACTGTATCATGTTCCATTTTGGACAGAATATCTACAGAGAAGATCAACAGAAGGAAAGGGGCCTGGATGACACGATGCCCAATGAGACATACCAGACCACATAGCCTTCCACCCCAAACCAACACGACATACATGCTACTCAAGCACGCATGCATCGTTCTTCAGGATAGACCACACTTTGGGCTCAGAGCAAGGCTTTATAGATTTTCATACAGAAATCACAAAAAATAGTTTCTCTATCACAGTGGAATGAAGTTAGAAATCAATAGAGAAAATGTAGAAAGTACACAAACATATTGAAATTAAACAACGCTTTTTTATTAATTTTATTGGGCGTTATTACAGATGTCATAACATTCCATATTTCAAATAGAGCATAATTGCACAATTGCTACTACAATAAATTCTAAAACATTTTCTTTCTTCTTAAACTTTGGTATCAGCTCTCCTTGGTCCCCTCCCTTCCCCCACCCACCATTCCTCCCGGGAATTATTGTTATATATTATATACATAACATATATATAATTCCTCCATCCAATATGTGCATTCACCTAAAATTGTGTTATTCGTTCCACTCAAAAGTGGGGTTATGGGGACAACACTGGAGATACAGTGCGGGAATCGCGCCCGATCTGACCCCACCACAATGAGGTGAAACATGAAACTTGTTCAACAGAACAGTAAGGGGAAAAGAGCAATGAAGTCCCCAGGGAATACCAAAAATATACTTTGGGGAAAGGGTGTGACACCCCATCAGACTCCACCGGAAAACACTCTAAAGGTCAACAAACAGACCTTGAACTATTCACAGGCTTTTCTTTTTTTATTGTTGTTTTGTTTTCTTTTATTGCTTTGCTTTGCTCTGTCTGGTTTTTGTGCTTATTATTATCTGGGCAGGTCTATCTAGATAAGATAGGCAGGATAAAAAATCTGGAGGAGAAAACAACAGGATTGATGGTTCTGGGGTGGGTAGCGGGGCAAGGGAACGAGAAGTGATCCAAAAGCGATGGGGAGGAGGGTGTAGGAGGCTTGGTAGGGCTTGATCAAGGGCAATGTAACCGAGAGGAATTACTGAAACCCAAATGAAGACTGAGCATGAGAGTGGGACAAGAGGAAAGTCAAAGGAAATAGAGGAAAGA